ATAATTATTGACTATTATAAAATGTTCATATAATTTATTTATATTTATAAAAACTTGCTAAGGTAATATTTTCTGTTATTTAGTAGATATATTATATATAACACTTGCTTTGTTTACCAAATAAAGTGGATCTAATTAGATTTGCATTGTCAACATTAAATACAAGTTAAAAGGGTATTACTTTTTAGTTCCAATAGTATCTGGATGCAGCCTTTATGATGCAAGCTGAGACTGCATCACTCAGCGATGCAATGTCACAATGCACAATGCAATGGAGTTAGTAACGTCACTGTGACGGGTAGGGTTAGGAGTGGGTTAGGTAAGCGCATTAAAAAGCATTGGATGCAGCCCAGATTGCACTGCACCAGGTCTGCAGCCAGACCCCTCTCTTTAGTTCACATATCGAGATTTTAGTTATGATATTCCCAAAATCCTTCCACACAAATACGCAGATTTTTAACAAAATTCTGCTCAGAAAGAGCAAAAAATGTCCGCAGATTCTGTCTGACCCTAGTTATCACTTACAAAAATTGTCTTATAATCAAACTCATGCTGAGAAATATTTACTGTATTGAAAAAGTGTGACAAATTTTCCCATTCTTCTCTATATCAGCACTATTTTAAACTAGCTTAACCTTATTAAATTTAGGCCTATGTAAATTCTATTAAAGAAGAAATAGGAGGTCCAAGCATTTCAAAGATACGTCTATATATTGGAACCATCCCAAGTATTTAAGAAACCAAAAAGTGTTTCAGTTGGCTCAGAAATTGAATCAACTGCCTAATTATTTATGCATTTTTCAAATAAAGCAAGTGAAGCATCTATGAAACTCTTACGGTCAACCAATGTCTAATAGAAGCGATAAAACAACATGGCCTTCATTGACAGGGATGTGGCTTCACCTTAATTCAGCAGCACAGACAGCAGACGCTTCTACATCACTATAAAAACATGCTTCTTTTGTCTTACAAATTAAAAAAACGACGGGATGGAGGGGAAAAAAACATGAATTGAATGAAATGACATTAGATGGAGCTGGCAGTCCCTGCTGTGTAAATGACACTCTTATTCCTTAAAATGGACTTCCCTGGTGAACTGTTCCTTTCAATTTCTTTGTCCATACCTCACGGCCTCCTCCTATATCGCTTTAATCAAATCCCCCTCTCACTGGATGTTATTTATTTGCTTATTTATTTATTTTCAAAGGATGCGACTGATTTTTATCAGATGGTAGAAGTGGCTTTCCTTCCTGGTGAAACGGTGACTAACGACCTGCTATCGATTTGTTGGTTTGTGTGCATGATAGCGGTAGCTGTGTGCCTTTAGAGTTATGCTACTGATACCTCAGACGTTTCCTCCCATGCGAATAATGCAGGCCGAATAATAAATGATAATTGGTGTCACCTCTGTGTATGATTAGTCAGAAACAGGCAGATAATTGCTGGGGATTTAGCAAGCAAATCCATTTATCTGAACGAATCAATATATGCTGTTAGAAAAAACTAAACATTGACCAGGCGGTTGTTTTTTGGTTGGTATAAAGTAGGGCTGCATAATATATGGTTTGTGCATCAATATAGCAATGTTCGCATCCACAACAGTCACATTCTTGTATCTGCAATGCCAAGAATGCTTATTGTTGGTCAGGATCTTGTAGATTAATGGCATAGTTTAACTATTGCAGAATTAAAGTTTATTAATTGCATTATTTTTTTTTTCTCTGTTAAACATGTCAAGTTAAGGTAACACAGTGGCTTAGTAGTTAGCACTGTCGCCTTACTGGAAGAAGGTTGCTGGTTCGAGTCCCAGCTGGGGTGAGTGAGCATTAATCTGTGGAATTTGCATGTTTTCCTTGTGTTGGAGTGGTTGTCCTCTGGGTGCTCTTGTTTCCCCATGCAATCTAAAGACTTGCGCTATAGGTGAATTGAATAAACTAAATTGTCCATAGTGTATGTGTGTGAATGGGTGTGTATGGGTGTTTCCCAGTACTGGGTTGCAGCTGGAAGGGCATCCGCTGTGTGAAACATATGTTGGATAGGTAGGCGGTTCATCCTGCTGTGGCAACCTCTGATGAATAAATGGAGTAAACCGAGGGAAAACAAATGAATTAATGTCAAGTGAGTTTAAAGCATCCTGGCAAATGAAACAATTTTGCTTTAACAAAGACTAATTGAATGACATTTTCAAAGTGAAGACTGACACGTGTCGTTTTACTTTCGATTTTTTATATTTGTGTCTATAGCTTACCAGACAGACATAAAAAATCTCTCATTTGTATACTTTCTCCCTTAAATATCCAGTTTAAAGTGAATATTAATAATGTATGCACGTGCACTCCACTATAAAATCATCCCAAACATTCTAAAATGCTGAATTCTTCACAAAAAGAGTTATTTAATCCATCTGGTAAAATATATTTCATATCGCAATGAATATTGCTGAAAAGCAAAATATTCAGGCTCATTCTGAAAACGTACAGCTATACACATTTCTGGAGAGCACCAAATATGCCCCAGGAGCTACGCTTTTTTGCAGTTTTTGTTTTTGCGAAACCACCAGAGGCCGCTGTTTATGCTTTTTCAGATCTCAAATTTCTCTCATGAGTGCCTTTCGTGCCTGCTGTTCTCTTGTAAATCCACCAGAGGCGGCACCCTCCTCTTTCCCTAAACTCAAACAATAGCTTCCTCAAACACCCACTTCCTTAAAGGGCCATGAAACCCCCTCGTTTCAGCAGGGTGTTTTCACACCTCTGCTTTGGAAAAAGTCAGAAAAGTGGGCGTGTCCAGCTCTGTTTAGGGGGGAGTGTCGGAGGAACTAAAGTGGGATGGTGTGGGAGTGTCTATTTGTGCACGCGCGAGTTTCAGAGTCAAAATACACACCCACAGCGGACAATGTGACTGTGTTTACATGGACATCTGTAGTCGAATTATTTGCCAAATTATTAAAAGTTGGACTTTAACTGCAGTTTGGCTCTTTCTACAGGGAATTCATTCATGCCTCTCGCGACAAACGAGATATTTGATTCAAGGAACTGCTGCAAGCGTGTATTTTTCATGCAATGTTTGATACCGCACGGCGAATGAGAGAGAAAAAAACTCTGCATTTCCCGGAAACTTAGATGCACACGGCAGGTAGCATCAGAAAGCCGCGTGTGTTATTCCGGTCACTAAATGCGGTGCTAACATTTCTGCACTCAGTGCAATAGTAACTTAATTCGATACGAACAAACTGAATAAACAAAGAGCACTGGTCGCTCACTTACCAAATCTGTAGAGACAGGACAATCACCAGCAACTAGAGCCGCGTCTTTATGGAGAGAATACTACAAGCGAATTCAGATTTCAGCGTTTGCAGATGAGAACAGCTCTCAGGTAAACAATAATCCTCAGACACGTAAGTTATTGTTGTCGAGCGTCGCGTACACTGTTAATCCACACGTGAGACTGAGCTCTCACAGAGAGAAAATGAAAACGAAACTTAACGGCAGCAAACTATAAAAGCAACACTTCACGCTTGTTTTGCCAACACAACGTGGCGTCTTTGTGGCGTAAACACGGTGACACTAATGAATATTAATGAAGTTCCACAATAGAGCGCGCTGATTGGTTTGAACCAAGCCTTACTCATGCATTAATGTATCACACTGTAAGACGTAATAAGACTCACTCAGGCACAGACGCCCAGTCTGCACGCTGGAATACACGCTATTATGTCATGGCCGTGACGCAGCTTCAAAAATTCGTTTCAAACAGGAAGTACAAATTTGCTTGAAATAACGCAAAAACAACCAATTTACACTTTTTAGTGAAATATAAGTGTCCTAATAGTGTTTTTAGCAGTGTGGGACACATATACGACTGTCAATAGCTCAAAAAATGTGTTTTGGTGTTTCGTGACCCTTTAAATGCAACAGACAGTTTTAAAAAGAAATCTAGAAAAAGAAAATCACTTGCCTGATTTTTTACCACGTTTTCAGATTTTACACCATTTTCACCATGTTGATTTTATTTTTTTATTTTTTTGTATTTGTCTTACCCGCTTTATGGAACTGTTCTTCACTGTCAACTCATCTCTGCGTGTCAAGTCCGCCGATGTGCATGGCAAGCTACTGGACAAACTGGGAACAGCAGGAAAGCTGTCCATGCAGAGGTAAGCGGTCAGCTGGTAATTGTGAAAAGGAACGGCGTCATACCGCCCCATAGCCATACCTACCTCTAGCTACATAATTCGCAAACTCTAGAAGTGTATATAGGGGTATGTTTTCCGAATGAGCCAATGTTGAAAAAATTGCAATGTCAGTTTTTTTCAATATCATGCAGCCCTAGTTTAAAGCCTGTTTTGTTTTTGATAAAGATGATTAATCATAGATTTAAATGTTTAATGTTAAATGTTCTAATTAACCAGTCTTGCTTAATTTATTAATAAATACTAAAAATAAAATAATAAAAATTAAATCATCATAGGAGGGCTAATAATTTTGCCTTCAACGGTATATTCTGATATTGATTATGCTCAGGCCAAATAGTTATTATCTGTTTTGTTTTGAGCTAATATCAGCTTAACTTTGTAAATTATATTAAAACAAAATGTAAAATTGAGATTAATTTAATTACAGGATTCTATAGAGTGCAATTTAATACAACATTCATTCATTTTCCTTCGGTTTAGACCCTTATTTATAAGGGGTCGCCACAGCGGAACGGACCACCAATTATTACACCCATACATGCATTCACATACACTAATACACTACGACCAATTTCATTTGTTCAATTCACCTATAGCACATGTCTTTGGACTGTTGGGGAAACCGGAGCACCCGGAGGCAACCCACACAAACACGGGAAGAACATGCAAACTCCACACAGAAACGCCAACTGACCCAGCTGGGACTTGAACCAGCGACCTTCTTGCTGTGAGGCGACAGTGCTAACCACTGAACCACCTTGTCGCTCCACGACATTTGACAACGTAAAAAAAAGTCACACTCAAGCCAGCATTATTTTGCAGTGATATATATTTCTTTTTGTTTACAAATAACATCTATCATTGCTTCAAATATTACATTAGCCATATCTTTTTCATAGCTGAAATAAATATATTGCACTTAAAAAAAAGGCATCGAAACAAAAACTATCAGATATCTCCTTATGAGTAGGACACATCTGACTCAGAAATACACACAAACAAACAAACAAAAATAAAAGATAACATCTGCTAATATATTGCAACTACATAAACCGTTTGTACAGTCTTTTCATAACAAATCATTGGCTTGAAATGGTGGATTATCACACTGAATCTGAACAAAACATCCCAAAATGCACAAAGACTGGTTATTTGCATTGACTGGCTCTGTTTAAATAGTTGTGTATTTCTGTTTGTTCGTCCTGATTTCCTCTTCATCCATTTATTACAGCTATAGCTCTCTTTCTCTGTGATTTGGTTGCAGGATGTCGATGAACTGTTGCCGATGTGACTGTACAAATAGAAATACTTTCAGCCACAAATCAGACAACTTTCCTCATTCCTCTGGGGAAGATGAGCCGATTATTTTAAATGTAACCCATTATTTACAGGTGTAGACTTCTACAAAACAGCCCACCGAGCAATTTTCTGTTAAGACCTCTAACTGGCATTTAAACGTAGATTGGCTTGGCTAAAGCAAGACTAAATTTGGGCTGTCAGCGAAAATCTAATAGACATCTAAGCATAGACCAAAACTAGACTAGTCATCAAATACAGATTAGACAGACTTCACATCTCTAGTCGATCATTTTTTTTGTGTTTGATGATTAGTCTAGTTTTGGGCTTTTCTTTGATGTGTATTAGATGTTCACTGACAGCTCAAATTTAGCCGTGTTTTAACAAAGCCACCTATGTTTAGACATCTATTAGACATCTATTAGACTTATTTTAGAAACTAAAAATGCTTGCTGGGAGCCTTGAGAAAGAAATGGAAAAACGTGACAAACACAAATCGGTGGATTTCTTGGTTGTGATGTACACAAATGCTTCAGTGTCCGCTGGTTTATATCAGCTGCTATTTACGCTTGTTTTGATAAATTTATGTTCATTGTTTTTCATCAAGAACACAGTTAACTTAAATATCAAACACAAATGATAAAAGTCAACATTTTTCAGTCCACAAATGTGTTCCCATCCAGTATTGCAGTTTTCAGAAAGCACAGCGCCCTCTAGTGTCGACAGTTCGAGTGGTTGGCAGCTCCACAGATAGGGAATGAAAGGATATCCTTAAAGGGGCAGTTCACCCACAAAAGAAATGTTGCTGTTTCTTGATTTCAAGGTCCAAAATGTAGGTGAATTATTTATTATTATAATTTTTCTTTTTTTTAAATCAGAAAGTTTTTTTTTTTTTTGGCTGAAACAGTGATCCTTGGTTATGACATAAAATGCAATTCAATGACTACTTGCACTTTGAGAGGCCAAAATAAAACCCCACACATACAGACAAAATAAAATTAATACCCTAGGCTCTAGACAATACATTGAGGTCTTCTGAAGTGAAATGATCATCATGTGCAAAAAACAATCCCTATTTAAAGTTAAATATACACATGCGTAAACCTAGGTGTCGTTTACACATTGGTGCTTTATTTTTTATTGGTGAAACATGTCATGTGTGCACAAATAGGGAGCGATGTGATTGTGAAAATATCTCAAATATTCAAACATTTCTCTAAGCGCACTGCTCGTCGTGTGACTAGAACCAACCAATCAGCTTCCAGCATTGTATGGATTGTACAGATTTCAGTAATAACTGTAGAACATTTAACTAAATTAGCCAAATTAACTTAACGAAGAACATGCAAACACTGGAGTGGTTTTTAATTTTCTGCATAAATAAAACTTGTATCATAGCTGCTGCAAGGTTTGTCAGTGGTGCTCGCTTGGAGTGTGCAGCTGATGATTGCTTAGCAATGACTGGAGCATGAGTTTAAAAGCACGTTGAAATCGGTGACGGAAATAGCACACCTTACATTTTCGACATGGTTTTGGATGCATTATGTGAACAGCCTCTTACATGTAAGCTAAGGGCTATAGCTTTTTATATAGGCTGCAGCATACAGGATAAGGGCAAGAAGCATTTTTATGAACATTTTTTATGCGCATCCTCTGATTTCATTATAAACAAACTAAATTTGTTTGTGAATTTGTGTCCACATATTTATTGTTAAACTTTAAGAGTACTTTTTATGCTTACGAGAAGGTCAATGTGTGTGACCTACTTTTGTATTAGAATAGTACATGCGTTGTACGCACACTGCTAAAACAATGTAACAATGTGTATGCAAATCCGCATTTAGATTTTCGCAGTAATAAATTGTTCCACTAGGTGGCTAGCTACTGTTTCCTTTGCTATTGGGCAGGGAACACCAAACCTGTTCCTGGAGGTCCAGTGTCCTGCAGATTTTAGCTCCAACCCCAATCAAACAAGCCAAGTTGGAGCTAAACCCTGCAGGGCACCGGACCTCCAGGAACGAGATTGGTGACCCTGCTATAGGGAGCGTCTATAGACCTGTAGTGAAGTGAGGCTTCATGAGACACTGAAACAGTCGAAGCAAATGTGTTGAAGCTTCAAAACGTTTCGAAACCCATCTCTACAGTGACACCTAGTAATCATATTTATGTATTGCTCTAAAACAGCTTCAGCAAAGAAACTGAGGAATTGTACCTCAGCATTGATGTTTCAAGGGATTTAGTGGAGCGGTGAGAGTTCCAGACTAGCATGCAGAGATAATTTGAATCCAGGGTGCAGCAGCTATATAGACTTTTGTTTTTAAATGCTCTGTTCTTGTAATGCGTTTGCTTTAACATTGGTCTGATATACAAATGAAAATAGTCAAAAAATTAACATTATTAAAACACACAAAGTCATTATTTCAGAGTATTTGCGATATTCGAACTCAGGACTTTTGAAGCACAGGTACTATGTGCAAACGCACTATTTACTATGCTACATGAAATGATTGGTCCGACCCTGTCAATTAAACGCAGATTTGCCAGGTTTCAAAACACTTCTGAAATGACTGATGCTTTGAATCGCTTTAGTCACATAGCCTGGTGTGTCGAAACACTTTAGTCACGTTACATAGGTGTTTAGAATCACCTTAGTCACATGACCTGGTGTTTCAAAACACTTTAGTCATGTGACCTGGTGTTTCGAAACACTAGTCACATGACATAGGAGTTTAGAATCACCTTTGTCACATGACCTGGTGTTTCAAAACACTTTATTCACGTGACCTGGTGTTTCAATACACTTTTGTCACGTAACCTGGTGTTTCAAAACACTTTAGTCATGTGACCTAGTGTTTCAAAACACTTTAGTCACGTGATCTGGGTGTTTTGAATCACCTCAGTCATGTGACCATGCTTCGGTGCAGTGTTTTGAAACACTTCCGCTTCAATATCGCGACAATGTGTCGACACGTCAGTTTCAAGTAGGCCATCCCTACAAATCTAAAACCAGGCAGATCTATGGCCCAGTTTTACACTCCTGTTTTTCTTTATGTAGCTACTAGAAGGTGATAGATGTATGGCCAAATAATAAATGTGAATATAATGTGAAGTGACAACTGGAGTTGGAAAATCATGTTTTTTGACATTCAAAATTTGCCGCATGTTTCCTGTAATGGTTCACGATTATTATATTGGAACTTCAGCAATGGATGCCACATACATAGACAAGAGATTGTGTGAAGAGTTTGGAAAATACCGTCACTTTAAAACGTTTGCTTTAAATCATAAGTCTCAAGCTCAATTTCTGGAGGGCTGCAGCTCTGCACAGTTTTGCTCCAACCCTAAATACAGCTGATCCATCTAATCTAATCAGCTATGTTTAAATAGGGTTGGAGCAAAACTGTGCAGAGCTGCGGCACTCCAGGAATTGAGTTTGAGACCTATGCTTAAAAGAATAAAGACGCTTATTCGTTGGCAAGATTATGCACATGAACAAATGCCTGCAAGTCAATAGTGGTATTTTATGTTGTCACAATCTGTATATGTCAAACACCCATGTACATGCACATGACAAAAAGAAGTAGGCTGTGCATTTGATAAGACCTCAGTGTGTTGTCAGGTACTATAGGTATTCATTTTGTTTTTACTCACTGTATTTTTTGAATTCTCAAAGTGCCTGTAGCCATGGACTGATTTTGTTAACCACCGAAAAGGCCTCTTTTTTGTTCTACAGAAGAAAGAAATGACCTAATTGGATAGGTTTTCATTTTTGAGGTGAACTGTCCCCTTTAGACGTGATGCATCATGGAAAATAAAAATCTGCAGTTGTCCAGTGTTGCGTTCAGCGATCTCCATCATTTGCTGTGAGATGAATCTTTAAAGGTAGCACAAAAACATCTGCAGTTCTCTTATCATCGCTAAAACTCATGCTCGAAGTCCCTTCACCTTTTTCTATTCTCCAGCACAACTGCGCGACGCAGCACGTCCAGGTCGTCCGGTACTGTTATTTACATTTCGTAAGCGTGTGTTTTTTTTGCGTGTGTGAATTCGCATGCCAGCGAAAGGTAAATGGTATCACTCTGCAGTGTCAGGAATCATACAAACGGGGTCATGACTGTTGAAGAGTGCCGCAGTCCCTGGATGGCGGCGTAGGGCCCTTGCTGGAAGTAGTGGTGGTAGCGCGGCATGTGGAAGGAGGGGAAGGTGGGTCCGGTGGCCTGCATGGAGCTGGCGAGGGCGGATGGAGTAAGGGGCATTCCCAGACGACTGTAGGGGGGGAGGGAGCCCTGGATGGGGTGCGGGAGAGGACTGGCCAGGGACGCCGTGCTGGTGCCGATGGCAGACAGAGACTGAGGGTGCTGAAAGCCAGAGAAACCAGATGTGGTGGTCACCCAAGAGCTGAGGGAGAGGTTGTCAGATGCAGTGAACGCTGAACCTGTACAGGAAAATAATGAATTATTGGTATTATAAAATTAGCATAGTTGCACCATAATATAAACAATGTTAGTATAGAAACAGAAGAAGGTACATAAAAAAAAAAGTTTAATAACATGCACTGTAAAAAATGATTTCATTTTAGTAATGAATAGGTTATTTTACTAAAACTAAAATTGTTGCTGCAATAAACAAATATCAGCTTGACTTAGAAATATTTGTTATTTTCATTTTAATTAACTGACTAAAATAAAAATGTAATAAAATTATTTAAATAAATAATAATAATAAAATGAAAACAATTAAATAATTTTTTTTAAAAGGTACATGGGATCGTCACACAAACAGGATGGTCATGGTAACACAACAATAAAATAATGCAAAAACATGAACTAAATATAATGTATTCAAGTTGTGTCTTAAAATATTTGTAAATTCATAGTTTTTTTATTTTTTTATTTACCATGAATGATTTTCACTCAGATTTTAATTGTAAATTTTACAAATGTAAAAATTAAACTGAAGACAATCAAATGACAAAAAAAACTCTAAAATAAACTAAAACGATTGAAACTATAAATAAAAACTTCAACATTTACTATTTTAAAGAACTAAAGATACAAAAAAAACGATGAAAAAGTTTGTTGTCTGTTTTTCTACTTTAGAAATTTCATGTTTATTAAAATACTAGTTTTTATTATCATTTGTACAATTTAATATCAAAATCAAAGTGAGTTTATTTTCATGTTAAATAAAAGCAAAACCTATGAATTTACAAATATTCCAAAACACAACCTGAATACATTATATTTAGTTCATGTTTTTGCATTATTATATTGTCATGTGTTATACCTTGACCATCCAATGTGTGTGATGATCCCATGTACCTTCTAAAAAATAAACTATTATTCATCTCATGGCTTTCTGTTTTACCGTTTTTTGTTTATCGGTGCATTTGGAGCTACAAAACATCTCGGTTTTAGTTATTAAATAAATTGGTTACAGTATACAGTTATTCGGTATACAGTTGGTGTACAGTTATAATGATACTGGTATGCCGTCTTGAATACCCACACTGAATTTCTGGTTTCTACAGCTTAAAAAAATAAAAATAAATATGTATATATATATATATATATATATATATATATATATATATATATATATATATATATATAGAGAGAGAGAGAGAGAGAGAGAGAGAGAGAGAGAGAGAGAGAGAGAGATTGTGCAGTTTACTGTTACTGTAGGATTTTCATACCTCTACTGTGTGCTGAATGTCCTTCTTCTCCCAGAGTCTCTTCATCTCCAGCATAAGTCCGGATGGGTGACCGGGCGTAAGAGTGCTTGTGGATCAAACTCTCAACACTTTCCCTACAGCAAAAATCAAAAGACAAGAGCCCAAAATATATCTCCATAATTCCTTACACAACATCACTTGAGCTGGTTAAACAGGCTAAATATGTTGCATTTTAATAAACTAAAGCATATCTTGTGAATAACGATTCAAGATATTTGAAAAAGAAACTGTTGTTAGTACAATAAAGGCCAGTGGGATAAAAAAATAACATGTTAAGTAAATATCAAATTATTTTAGGGAGGTGATCTATATTCAAGCATTAAATTAAATGATTTTCCATAAGGTGTCATAACGACTATTTTTCGTTTTTACTATGATTTACAACAGACCCACTCACTAAAATTTCAGCGTAACTATAGCTTATTTACTTAAAACTCTTGTCACCCATGTTACAATTGAGAATCATTTGACGACATGTTAAAAGACTCAGTTTAAAGTACAACATCAAAATGTAAATCTTTCATTTTTATATTTTTCCACTATATCCTTTAAACAGCTGGGTTTACCCATTTGTCACCAAAAGCTTTTAATCTTTATAATATAATAAGATCAAGCACAATCACTTATCCTTTCATACATTTTAAAGGGACAGTTAACCCAAAAATGCAAATGCTGCCATCTTTTATTCACTCTAGATTTGTTCCAATACCAGTTTGAGTTTTTAATTTTGTTTTGTTGAACGCAAACAAAGATATTTTAAAGAAAATTGGAAACCTGTACCCATTAACATTCATAGTAGGAAAAACGAATGCTAAGGAAGTACATGGTTACAGGCAGGGTACGAATTATACAAAGACGTTTAAGGAAGTAAAGTTTTTCGGTAATGTTAGTTTGTGTAATACTTTCTTTTGTAAATCAAATTTATGTATTTGTTTAAATTACATCTAATTTATCTATAAAAGTATTTTAAGGGATGTTTAGTGTATTTTAACCTAAAGTAACCCCTGATTAGCTATTTCAGAGTTTTACTATGCATCTAACGTCACTTTACTTCTAGTCTATATAAACACAAAAACCTATTTTACAAGAAAAGTGTCTTATGAACACTTCCAGTGTCTATTGGTGCTTCAGATCAGATTTTTTCGCATACGATTGGTGGAATTATGCGTTAACAAATGGTATGGACTGTGATAGGGGTGGTCAAATGTAAATTTATATTATCTAAAATTTTATTCAATAATAGGATACAGATCTGAGAAAATTACTTCTCACTATCAAAAAGCTGACCTCTCATACATATTGTTTTTGACGTCCTTTAGGGGCATCAACTGTTAGATAGGGAGGTCAATCCCCCCAAACCCCCCTATAATTCGTACACTGCTTACAGGTTTCCAACATACATACAACATATATATTTTTTTGTGTTCAACAAAACAAACAAAAAAAAAATACTCAAAAACACACAAAAAAGGTTTGAAACAACTGAAGAGGGAGGATAAATATAAATATTTAATATATAAATAATAATATACACTCACCAGCCACTTTATTAGGTACAACTGTCCAACTGCTCGTTAACGCAAATTTCTAATCAGCCAATCACATGGCAGCAAATTAATGCATTTAGGCATGTAGACATGGTGAGGACAATTTGCTGCAGTTCAAATCGAGCATCAAATCGGCAAGAAAGATGATTTAAGTGACTTTGAACGTGGCATTCAGACCCATATGGGCTGGAGTATTTCAGAGACTGCTGATCTACTGGGATGTTCATGTACAACCATCTCTAGGGTTAACAGAGAATGGTCCAAAAATGAAAATATCCAGTGAGCTGCAGTTCTGTGGGTGCAAATGCCTTGTTGATGCCAGAGGTCAAATGAGAATGGCCAGACTGGTTTGAGCTGATAGGAAGGCAACAGTAACTCAAATATCCACTCGTTACAACCGAGGTCTGCAGAAAAGCATCCCTGAACGCACAACATGTCCAACCTTGAGGCAGATGGGCTAAAGCAATAGAAGACCACACCGGGTAACCACTCCTGTCAGCTAAGAACAGGAAACTGAGGCTACAATTCGCACAGGCTCACCAAAATTGGACAATAGAAGATTGAAAAAATGTTGCCTGGTCTGATGAGTTTCGATTTCTGCTGCAACATTCGGATGGTAGGGTCAGAATTTGACTTCAACAACACGAAAGCATGGATCCATCATGCCTTTTGTCAACGGTTCAGGGTGGTGGTGGTGGTGGTGTAGTGGTGTGGGGAATATTTTCTTGGCACACTTTGTACCAAATGAGCATCGTGTCGAGGCCACAGCCGACCTGAGTATTGTTACTGACCATGTCCATCCCCTTATGACCACAGTGAACCCATTTTCTCATGGCTACTTCCAGCAGGATAATACGCCATGTCATAAAGCGTGAATCATCTCAGACTGGTTTCTTGGACACGACAATGAATTTAATGTACTCAAATGGCCTCCACAGTCACCAGATCTCAATCCAATAGAGCACCTTTAGGATGTGGTGGAATGGGAGATCGCATCATGGATGGGTAGCCGACAAATCTGAAGCAACTGTGTGATGCTATCATGTCAATATGGACCAAAATCTCAAGAATATTTACAGAACTTTGCTGCATCTAAGCGGCGAAGGATTAAAGCAGTTCTGAAGGCAAGGGGGGCCAACCTGGTACTAGTAAGGTGTACCTAATAAAGTGGCCGGTGAGTGTATATTACGTATAAATCTATGTTACTCATATTTTGACAGTCCAATAGTTTGACTAATTAAAGTAGACACTTTATTGCATTAAATATGGTTTCTATATTTATATAAATATATAAAATGACTTTAATTTGATGCCGACACCAAAATGTGACATCTCGTCCTTGACCCATAAAAGCAAATTCACAGTGGTGACCACAAACACAGTAAAGAACTTCTAATCTTTCATAAACTAAACTTGTTTTACACCACTCGTTATGAAGTGATACTGTCCAAAACGCACGTCCAATTTTCCTCTCTATAGATTTGATGTTCCCCGAATCGGCTTGCGCATAAAAATATGTTAACACACGGCGGTTGTGCAGAGAGAAGTGTGTCTGCTGGGCTTGCAGTAAGTGCATTAGCTGCTGTTAGATTAGACTCTTCAGACAGCCCGAGATGGTCTGCATCACAAGAGCCATGCGTCCACATTAGCCTCCCAATTAGGTTAGGAAAGTGCAATATCTGTCAGCAGCGCAATACAAATATGTGTGTTTTTATCTGCGATGCGCTCCCGAGGAGAGGGGCCTCCGAGCCCTACAACTTGGGTGGCTGTTTTCAATCAGTCACGGGGCCCAATTGAATTACGCTGTGTTTTAGTGCAGTGCCCGACTCCAGACTAATGCGATTTCTGCAGCTCCCTGAAGATCAATTGATCAGATCTAATTCACAGCCCTTCCAAAGAGAAAAAGAAAAAGAGAGACAGAGAAAGAGAGAGAGCAGGATGCATTTTTGTGTGGTATTTTTGGCAGTCGTTGTTCTCTTCGTTGAGGTCTGAAATGGAACTTGCTTGTAAATGTTTAACTGGAATGCTAATTTGAGTGCACACTGGCAAAAATCTGCCATTTCCAGCATTTCTAGCTTTATCCAATTATTTTTGAGTCATGCAATTGTTTTGCTCGTAAATCTTAGGTTAGAAAAGTCAGTGATCTGTACATTTTCTTGTGTTTATACATTTATTTGTTATACACACACACACACACACACACACACACACACACACACACACACACACACACAAATACACACAAACACATACACACACAGTTGAAGTCAGAATAATTAGCCCCCCTCTGATCTTTTATTTCTTTTTTAAATATTTCCCAAATGATGTGTAAAAGAGCAAGGAATTTTTCACAGTATGTCTTATAATATTTTTTCTTGTGGAGAAAGTCTTATTTGCTTTATTTTGGCTAGAATAAAATAAGTTTTTTAAAGCCATTTTAAGGTTAATATTATTATTATAATATTATAATAATAATAATATAATAATAATAATATATAATATTATAATAATATTATATTATAATATTAACCTTAAAATGGCTTTTAAAAAAATAAAAACTTATTTTTTAAAAAAATTATAATAATATTATATTATAATAATAATATATAATATTATTAGCCCCTTTAAGCTATATATTTTTTGCTGGTCTACAAAACAAACAATCGTTATACAATAACTTGCCTAATTACCCTAACCTGCCTAGTTAACCTAATTAACCTAGTTAAGCCTTTAAATGTCACTTTGAGCTGTATAGAAGTGTCTTGAAAAATATCTAGTAAAATATTACATACTGTCATTATGGCAAAGATAAAATAAATCAGTTATTAGAAATGAGTTATTAAAACTATTATGTTTAGAAATGTGTTGAAGAAATCTTTTCTCCGTTAAACAGAAATTGAGGAAAAAAATAAGCAGGGGGGCTATTAGTTCTGACTTCAGCTGTATATTAATATTGATTTGAAATATGTAATGCTTAGAGATTAAATAGCACTATTACTAGGGAAAAGAAGCAAATTATTCAAGAATATAAAAAAAATTATGAAAAAGTATGAATAATGATAAACAATCAGTTTTGAAAGCTATTTTTTGTTGGATTTAAACCCTATATTTGTTTTTGGTGGTGTTAATTGAGAGCACATTACCAAAATCATTGCCAGAATTTCTAGTTCACAAAATTGAGCCATAATGAGTCAATATGATAAAACATAAATGAGTACAATTCTCACAGGTTGGTCTTTTAAATGAATGTTTTCTATAGGAGGCTTTACAGTAATATATTTGTGCATATGCATGAGATTATTTAAAAGCCAAATCTGGAACGAATCTACAGAAACAAAACAACTTAAGATCTCATCCAAAAACACCTAAATTAATTTGTTGTGAAAAAATATTAAATAAAATTTTAATAAACAGCAAAAATCAAGGGAAACAAAAAATATACAATTTAATATAATTTTTTGTAGTTTGTATTTTTTCCTAATGAATTTGAAATTAAATGTATTTTCGTTTTATTCCAAAAGATGTTCAGTGACCAAACTCTTATTTTAAAGGAAATAATCGTTTGATAAAAGTTTTAAGTGCACCAAATACTATTGGCTATATTCTCTGAGAAATGGATACAAATTTTAAAATATACAAATTTAAGTGTATGTGCTATTTAGAGATCATATAAAACAAAAAAAAAATAAATGAATAAATTCATGAATAAATTAATAACTAAATATGGTTTTATTGGCTAATTAAAAATGTGTTAAACACAACCTAAATTAGTGGGAATTGTTTTTTATTGTGTAATTTGAAGGCATAATTTGGTCTTTTAAAGCATTACTAGCTTTATTTCTGTTTTGTTTTTATGCTGTATTTATGTACTGAAAGTGATGCTAAATGTGTGTGTGAGACTAATGTAGTGTAATGTTGTTGTGTGAACAAAAACAACATCTCTGAATGTAATACGCTCAGAATTCAGTGCAATTGGAGACGTTATCTTTTACAGAGTCAGCATATCAAAGCCTACAGCGAACAAAGTTTGGGAACTACAAAAAATACATCCAGGTTAATGAGAGCACAAACACTTCAGGTTATACAATCTTCTTCCACGTTTTGATTTTTGCAACTTTTGCATTTTGCAAGATTTAAAAGCTAAATTTATTTTTTTAAACTAAAAACAGTGGTTAAATTAGCTTATAATTGATAGATGGTTTGTTATGATAGAATAATTTTTGACCAAGATAAATCTATATATCTGGCATCTGAGGGTTAAAAAATCTTTCATTCATTTTCTTGTCGGCTTAGTCCCTTTATTATTCCGGGGTCGCCACAGCGGAATGAACCGCCAACTTATCCAGCAAGTTTTTCCGCAGCAGATGCCCTTCCAGCCGCAACCCATCCCTGTTTGCAATTCACCTGTACCGCATGTCTTTGGACTGTGGGGGAAACCGGAGCACCCGGAGGAAACCCACGCGAAGACAGGGAGAACATGCAAACTCCACACAGAAACGCCAACTGAGCCGAGATTCGAACCCAGCGACCCTGTGACCTTCTTGCTGTAAGGCGACAGCACTACCTACTGCGCCATGCACTGCCTCGCCTAAAAAAATCTTAATATTGAGAAAAATTGCCTTAAAGTTGTCAAAATTTGTTTAAAAAATTTGATTGAGTTTGGATATATTTTCAGTATGTACAATGCTTTAGTAAATTTCCTAAACATTTGCATGGAAAATTATCTTAAAATTCCATTTTTTGATTTTGGGAAATGAAAAAATAATGAATTAATAAACAATATGTTAATTATAAAAAATATTTTAATAAATAAATATCCTCTGGGTGCTCCGTTTTCCTCCACAGTCCAAAGACATGCACTATAGGTGAGTTGAATAAACTAAATTGGCCATAGTGTATGAGCGTGAATGAGTGTGTATGGATGTTTCCCAGTACTGTTAAATTGGCGGTTCAATCCCTTGTGGGTACCCCAGATTAATAAAGGGAATAAGCCGAAAAGAAAATGAATGAATGAATGAATGAAATTGTCCGTAGTGTATGTGTTTGAATGAGTTGATGTTTCCCAGTATTAGGTTTCAGCTGGAAGGGAATCCGCTATGTAAAACATGCTCGATAAGTTGGCGGTTCATTCCGCTGTGGCGACCCCTATTGAATAAGGGGACTAAGCCGAAGGAAAATGAATGAAATAAATAATTGTCTACTGCCCAAAACATACCCAAACAACTACACTATCCACGTGTTTTTCATCCACGGTTACACTTACACATCAATTTATGCTAAATATTTATTCCAGATTTTGCATTTTCTATCAATTAAGATTTGTTGGCATACATTGTTTTGAATTTCAGCACAGTTTTTTTCCGCTTGTTTTCAGCTTGTTTTCTCCTCTTTTCATTGAACCAACCCTGCCACTCTCATCTCTAATGAGACTATAATGAAAAGCCTCTTGTGCAGTTGTTAATGACTTTGGCTGAATGTTCGTCTGAGCGCTTCCACACACACCGACACACACACTCCTGGCGGTCAGAAATTATCCGAGCGCAAACAGCAGAATTCCTCATACCTCTCAATATCCGTGAGTCTGGAGGAGTCTCTGAAGCCTTTGGCAAACGGGTTGCTGTCAATCTTGAGTCTGGTTATCTGCAGCCCAAAGAGGAAAGAACTAAATTAAAGCAAGATCCTTTCCTCTCCCACATCAAGCCATGGGCAGTAAATTAAGCATAAGTCCGGATGCTATGACTGATGTCTTCCAGTAAATCGTTGTGCTAAAAGTGAATCCATTTTTAACTGCTGTCAAAATACACTCAGTTGATTCTGTATTCAAAATACTATTATGGCTTACAGAACAGCATTATAAGAAACAATGGGGGAAATATAGCCTATATATACAGTTGAATTCAAAATTATTCGTAATTCCTGTGATTTTTCTTTTTTAAATATTTGCCAAATGATGTTTAACAGAGCAGGGAATTTTTCACAGTATTTTCTATAATATTTTTTCTTCTGGATAAAGTCTTACTTGTTTTATTTCGGCTAGAATAAGAGCAGTTTTTAATTTTTTTAAACCCATTTTAAGGTCACTATTATTAGCTTCTTCAAGCTATATTTTTTTCAAAGGTTTACAGACCTACAACCTACAGGTTTACATCGTTATACAAAGACTTGCCTAATTATCCTAACTTGCCTAATTAACCTATTTACACCTTTAAACCGCACTTTAAGCTGAATACTAATCTTGAAAAATATCTAGTAAAATATTATTTACTGTCATCATGGCAAAGATGAATGAAATCAGTTATTGGAAATGAGTTATTAAAACTATCATGAAATGTACTTAAAAAATCCGTTAAACAGAAATTGGGAAAAATAATATAGAGGAGGGCTAATAATTCAGAAGGGCTAATAATTCTGACTTCAACGACTGTATATAGGCTATATATAAGCTCTATTAATAGGGTGTATTTTGTACTCACCAGCTGGTTCTGGTAAGCAGTTACTGCAGTGAAAACCGTCTCGGTGAAGACAAAAGTGCGAAACTCTTCAGACTTCAGATTTAGCAGAGACGCGGTGTGATCTTTCTTCTTGATGATATGAACTCGGGGTTGGTACTTGTGCATGGAGTTGAGGATGATCTGTTGGACAAAGATATGAATTTAAATTGATGATATATTGCATGATGATGATAATGTGATGAAAATTTTGTAGTTTACAGAGCTCAGCATATTTTAATCAGCATAATTAATACTTTTAATAGGAAGCTATACAATATTATATTTGTGCATATACATTAGATTAGTCAGTACTGAAGCCAAATCTGGAGCTTATCTAACAAAATAACTTTATTAATACAAATTTTAAAAAGAAGAAAAATCAAGAGAAGCAAAAAAAATCTAAATATTTAGTTGAAATTTTGTAGTTTGTGATTTTTTGGCAATATTTAGCTTAAATTTAATTGTTTTATCTTTCATTTTCTAAATCTGTTTGGTGACTAAGATATTATTTTAATAAATATATCTGTTTAATAAATCTGTTTTGTTCAAAGGCACCAAAATACATTGCCTATATTCACTGAGAAATAGATAAAAATATTAATTTTTTAAAATGGGATGTTCTCCATTATGATGAGCAAGTGTATTATTCTGCTTTTGTATTATATATTTTTTATTATATGATGAATATTATTATGTATATGTGTATGCATAGGCTTATTTGCTAATTTATACAACAGGATTTATTTCAACTAAAGGCCAAGAATAGTTAAATATGCAATTGAATTTTCTTGATACACTGCATCATTTATAAGATAAACATTTTAATTTAGATACATTTACTTCAAACATATTGCATAATTTTGTAATTAATTCTTTCAAACATGCTGTCTAAATATGCTTATGGAAAATCTAATATTGTGTTTCATAAGGTTTAGTTAATAAATATGTGCATTCAGTTTAAATTTACAAACGCAAATGAAAAAAATAGACTTCACAGACAATATTTTGTGTAATGTGCCTTGTTCTTTCAGATATAGTGACCCTTTTTTTTTAAATCACTGGCGTCCAAGGCATATATTGACATACAGAGAATCAAATATAAAGAGCTTTAAAAAGCCTACAATTTTGACTTACATGTCCGTGCTGGTCCAGTTCGTTATTTGTAAGCTTCACTTTTTCGAAAGAAACCATTTGTTTCAACAGCTGTTCTCCTGTGAATGGCGAATCTGGATGAACATATAACCTGTAAAATAATTTGTTAAATTATTTTTTTCTTTTTAGCATTATACCTATTTAAGCCTCCATTTCATAAACTTTAACTTGGATTTAAATCTTTAAAAAAATGTTTCGTTATCCAAAATAGAAAGTAATGGAAAGTGTGAAATTTAAATACAATTATATACAATTATTTGTATATATTCAAATTGAAAGACAGCATCAGTTGTTTCAAAATAGGCTAATTAATTTCGTTTTTAGTTTTAGCACTATTCTTTAACAAAGATGTAGCAATTATTAACATTATAAAAGAAACAAATTCCTACCTAGCAGGTAAAGGTGGATCTGCCTTTCCCGCCACCAGCCATGAAGATCTATGGTAGGCGTATCGATATCTCTTATTGTCCACCGGAACTATGTCCATTAGCACAATGTATTTGGCGTCTGGGTCCACTCCGGAAAATGACACACGAATTGTCGGAAACATTCGTCTGTTGAAACAAAATAATACGCATTAAAAGGTGACTGCATGGTTTATAGACTATAGTTCAACGATGTATTCAGAAATTATAAAGTCGCAATTTTTTGTAATAGTTTCGTCTTTAAAAAATAAGGTTACACTCTAAAATGCTGGGTTGTACTTGAGTCAAGGACAAAGCCATTATTTTCCCAATTAAATTTAAATTAGACTACACTTTTCAGTTTGAAAATCAGAAATTTAAGAAATGTCGCATATTTTAGTAGTAAATATAGGCCTATTTAAATTTTGACAGAAATAGACCTGTAGAATATTAGGATACACTCTAAAAATGCTAGGTTGTTGTAAACCTAAGTTAAGGACAACCCCACCATTTTTCCAATTATGTTTGAATTAGCTTACTTTTCAGTTTGAAAATTAGAAATTTAAGAAATGTCGCATAAACGTTGACAGAAATAGCCCTGTAAAATAATAGGTTACTATTTAAAAAAAAGCTGGATTGTAACTCAAAGTTGAGTCAAGGACAAACCCATCATTTTTCCAATTAAATTTAAATTTGCCTACTTTTCAGTTGGAGAATCAGAAATTAAAGAAATGTTGTATATTTAGAACAAATGTGTTGACAGAAATAGGTTACACTCTAAAATACTGGGTTGTTGTAAGCTTGTGAGATTGTGTTGGACAAACATAACATTGGGTTAATTTTGTCAATCAAATTTAAATTACACTTTTCAACCCAACTTTCGGGTTTATCCATATTTGTCCATATTAACGTTGGGTGACAACAACCCAGCATTTAATTTTTAGGCCTAACTTAAATGTTCATACATTAGGCTACAGTTTATCTCATAAATATACATTGTTTTAAAGCTAATTTAACTTTTTTGTTTACCTTCCAGACTTTGTAATAATCATTTCAGTGCCGAGTTCGTGAAACTTGTCCCACAGCTCTTTGGTCTCGAGGCTGCAGGAAATCTTGGCCATCTCCTCGCTCGGCACACCGGGAGTCGTCGGGATGAGCGGCTCCGTGCATAATGGAGCGCCGCTGCCGGTGCCGCCGCCGCTGCTGAAGTCGCTGTGGGTCTCCAGCGGAGGAAGGTCGCCGAGGTTTGGATGGCATGACGACTTTTCCACGAATTGTTCTTGAATTAAAAAGCAATAACCATGATTATGTGCGCATAAATGTGATGCAGTTTGTTTTAGAAAAAAAAAACCTGTGGGGCCATAGCATGCAAATGTCATTATTGCCAAAATATCACAATAACATAGGCCATAGAAACAACATAAAAACATTTACATAATTAAAATATATGAAATTAAAACGAATGAAACGTTGAAATATTAGGCTACTGCATAAAACAAAATCACACTGAAAAGATTAACCAAAAAAACAAAAAAACAAACTACATACTACATCAGTCTTTACATCAAAATGTCATATTTAATTGCCGTTTCTTTATCATATATAGCCTTTAAATATAGATTTACATATTTACTTGTAATTTCAGTGCATTTATATTAACATTACCAAAACGACAACTCAAATAAACAACGAATATCAGCTTAAAACCTTTATTCTTTTTCTTAAAATATCATGCTTAATTCAAAGCGCTCAGTCTATTTCAGTTTCTCAGTAATTTATTGTAAAATTAACTGAAATTTAAAGTCTATCAACGTTATTATTCTATTTAGATAAAACAAAACACAAACAACAGCAAAAAATGAAGGCTAAAATAAACTTTGTTTTTTAAAATGTGGAAAAAGTAGGCCTATATATTTACTAATGTGGTTTATTAGTATTTTTAGTTTGCATTTCCATTTTAATGATTTTGCCCGAATTATAATGTTACAAAGAGTACAAACGCATCCAAATAAATAGCATATATTCTACTAAACCCACCACTTATTATGGTTTTAAATCTTTTAGTTAATGATTGGCGAATTTAAATGTTCATTCTTAGATGTAATGTAATCTTTTATTATAGATTAAACCGATAGGCATGCGTGATTATTTGTCGCTTTATGTTTGAATCTATTAGGCTAATTTTAATTTGCTATAGCGCACAAAATCTTTGCAAAACATCACAAAATGGTCAAATACAAATAGGACTTTTATATCTCATGCTTAGTTTTTTTTTTTATAAACAGTTAGGTTATTTTATGTAAGTCTATAAAAAGGCATTAAAATGTGCCTGTCATGTTGACAATTTACTCATAATATAACATTTAAGACTGGTGGATAATTTAAATCCAGTGTAACTTAGTTACTTAAAGACTCGTTCGACATTATTCGTTCATAAGGTATTTTATGTTCCTTTATAAAAATAAAAACTCTATTTTATGGTCATGTCACCGTAAGTCTGAAGTACAAATTTGTCTCATGCCATTGTTGCAAAGCACAAAACACACTGCATCAAAATTTCACTGAACAAGGGTCGGATCTTCTCTTACCCAGCGGCTTTATGGTGTTTTCCTCGGACTCCTTGTCCTTGGTTTTCCCACTTGACATGAGTGCGGCTATGGAGAAAGCGTTCGCTCTGGAAGAGAGCTGAGGTTTTGGGGAAGAGGTGTACTCCATGACGCGAGCGTTCAAAACTATTCTCAACAGCAGGAACCTCCAGATGAAAACTCCGAAACGACTTTAAATAGCAAGACGATATTTTAGATTATGAAGATAGCAGGCTATAGGCTGTCGCGTGAGTTACTTCCAAATGGATTGGGACATTGTGTGTCGTGCGCCAGTCTCCTTCTTGAGCAAGCAGGGTTTCATTGTAAGTGTTGGACACTTGCAGTCCCCTTAATTTCGCAAGCTCCTCCGCCGTGCGCAGATACGACCAATCGTTGTGTTGCTTTTAGATCATTGGCTCTTCAACACCCTCCACTGTCTGTGCTGAGTTTATTCCTACTACGGTGAAGGATTGGTTTATTAATATTAACTTATGTGAGTGATGCATGTCTTCCTGATTGGCCGCCGGTGAGTGGGCGTCGGTGAGCTGGCGAAAACTTGTATGAATACTTGTAAGATGGAGGCGTGATATATGAATATTTAATAATTTATGCGATTTAAGGTTGCTATACAACGTACAACGTCAGAATTACTTTTTTAATATGCATGGAATTAAAATGCAAAACAAACAAAAAAAAAAAAAAACAGTTACATCACATCACAGTTAGGCTACTTCATTTCACACGTCACTATTTGTATAGACAGAAAAAAGCTGGTTTTGCATTAGCTTCCATCATACATGACAATTTAAATGCCAACACCTAAAGGGAATACTGCTGGCCTTAAAAAGACAAATGTCTGCACCAATTTCAATAATTATATTTCTTTTATATATTATTTGTTATTTTTGTTAGGCTATATATTTTAGTGAGTATATTTTGTATGCTAAAACATCTATGCTAAAAAATTGTTTTCAAAACATTTATTTCTATAAAAACACGAATAAACCTACTAATTTGGCTAATTAGTAACTAATAATTATCGACCAGTAAAATAACTAAACAATAAGGATAAAATATTATATAATCCAAATAAATAATGAAATAATACAAACAAATAACAACAACAACAATAAAAATATTATTATTCATATATTTTTATTATCTTTATTAGTAGGCTAGTCCTATGTTTGCTGTAATTTTCACCAACTCAGCAATATTCCTTATCTAGAATTAGAAACTCTCTACTGATGTTTTTTATTTATTCTGCGTTATCCTTCTGAACTTTCGATAAGAACAAATCCTGTCTAGACGCCACCTCAAGCCACCCCGTTCTCCCTTGATGCCTAAGCCGAGACACAGGCCCTTTGTTGAGTCAAACACTTTAGCAAGCTTATGGCGATCAAGCTTGCTGAAATCATTACTGCAGATTTAAACCAACACGTTTCCCACAAATAAAGCACTTGTCGGGTTGTGGATAAACCATGGGTTCAACTGTGGTCAGCTGTTAACGTGATGAGACTTAGCACAACTTTTAAATGCATGTTTCATAGAACACATTTATGTAACATTTGATTGACATCTACATATATGAATGTAGCCTACACTGTTAAAATGTTTTCACCATCACTGGTACATGCTTTTTTGATAGCTATTACTTTCTGCGCGCGCTCGCGTCTGTGTACATAAATGTATCTCCCAAAAGCGCTGACTCCTGTGTTTTTTCCGCTTGAAGAATCAGCTGATCCTCAATGTCACTCTCTCCGGAGAGACGCACGAGCCCCAGATCTACAGCGTTTAAACCCATTAAGGCGACACTCAAATGCAAATCCAATGCTGCAGATATATTATAAGGGACCTTGGCTGGAAAAAAAATTAGATTAGTGTGCAATTGCCAGCGGATAATGTGCTAAAAGCTTTCCCACTTAGCGTAACTCCTTACTGAATATTATTCACACTTTCGGGGCCGATGTGCCAGCCGGCCAAAGGCGACTTTTAAAGATGCAGCATACCCCGAAACGTGCCCGTCAGGTGAAGTGTTGCCATGTCTTCATATTATAAACGACTTTTACTTTTGCGGCTTGTTATTTAGTGCTTGAACGACCTTTTCCCTGCTGCAGTCAGTCCACCTGCTGTTTAAACTGAAATATTGTCCCCTTATTAATAACAAGTGTCCCCTTAAAATTAAACAAAAATATGATGATATGATAGCCTTCAGTTATTTCCACGTCCTTTTTTATGTAGGCTTACATCAGGCAAAGTGAATTTTGACTTACCTCTTTAATGCTATTTTATATTTAGAAATAGTGCTGTTTGTTCATATAATATTATTTATTATAATTTGATTAACATTTACTGCACTTTGTAATTTATTTTGTTTTATTAGCATATAAGGAGACCTGGATTTGGAAGTGTCACACATTTAAATAAATTAGCTTATATTTCTTTGTTGCATTGAATACTAGACTATTTATTAATTGATTCATGATTGGCTACACACTTACTGTAGCCCATCATAATTTTTGGTGTGTGATTAGAAGTAAACAATGTAATTTTTTTTCTTTTCTTTGTTGCTTTTTTGGACGATGCATAACATTTTCCTTAGTTGATTTATTGCGACATCTGGCAACACTGTTTTTATACAGGCAAAATGGCATCCTAACAAACAGGAAATTAACCGGACGGACATTTCGATTCCTGTATTACCTTTCAAAAGGAAATCAACAAACGACTGTTTAATCATTGTTTACATCGGAGAAGCGAATAACATGGACGATGGTAAGCCAACAAACACAATCACTTTGGAATAGCTAGCAATTGCTCGTGATTATTTATACCAAGGCCTTTGTGTAAATGATGTTATTATAATATCTATGCAGTTCTGGAGCTACCCTACATTATTTATAACCCATTTTGGCTACATCTCTTATTGGCCAAATTATATTATTCTTAAAAACTGCAACCCATACAAACACGAACTATGGTTTTATTACAGGTCCGTATAGCCAGTTTGGTAAAAAGGGTGGTTTAATGCACTTTGGTGGACCTTTTTGCAATTATTCATCTCATTTTCTATTGTATTATGCGGTTTAAATATTGCATTTTAGTAACATTTTAAGCACTATTGTTTTGCTGGATTTGCTTGTCGGATGTCATTATCACCACATTTCTTTGATGTACCAAAAACATTTCCTAAAGATTTATATCCATTATCATTTACAGCATATAGGCTACATCACATATACACCAATTACCATTACAAAATAAATAGGAATCTGTTTAAGTTATAAATTAAAAACTATTTACATTTAAATGTCATTCATTTAAATGGCAAACTGGCCAGCACATTTAAGTTTTCCCTTGTTGTTAAAGCCTTCTTCCATTTATTATTTTCACAATTTATGATGGCATATCAGTCAAAAAATGACAAATGAGCTTATGTAGGCGATAATTCTGGACCTTTGTTTGTGAGTGGTTGGTCTTTCGACTAACAAACGAACCAAAAAATGTTTTTGCAATAAATATATTGTAACAGGGTGTTTACACTAAAACTTGAGTACTGTGATTTTGCTATTAAAACCATGCTAATTTTCTTATGGGCAGTGTGAATGTGAGTAGCGTTAAAACATAAATATTTGATTCACATCAGAATATTAAATAAAAATATGTGGATTATTAATAAAAATAATACTGTTAAGTTAAAGCTGCACCCAATAATAAAATATTTACTTTTAATTATTTTTGGGGATGTTTGTGTCCACTCTGGGGTAATTTTGAGTCTTAATTTGGCCATGATTTTTTTTTCTGTTTTAGCTAGCAAAATGATTTTTGATGACAAATCTTACTTTTACACTTATTTTGAGAAAATGCTACTTTTTTTTAAACTCAACCATACACTCTGAGTAAATTTACTGCTCTTTTATTATGTTCAAGATGAAAACATCCACCAAATTAAACTGCTGTAAAAATGAATCAGATAAATTTTTTTTTTCACATTTTTTTGCATAAATCTATTAATCAACCTCAGCCCTGATCAGAAAACCACAGAATTTTAACTCTTTAATTGCCAAATTCAATTAGTTAATAATGTCACTTATTTGGTGAAAAAAACACAAAATGACGTATTTTCAATATAAAATGTAATTGTGGAATGTTTTTTTTTTTACCTTTTATCAAAGTCTTCAACATGTGAAACAACATTGCCTTTAATACATTGTTTTTTGTTTATTTTCATTTCTGTCCCTAATTTACTGTTGGTGGATGTTTTTGCTCCATTAACTTTCATTATGACCACATTTTTTTATTACAAAACCACGACACCATATAATCATGCATTTTTGATTATTGGTGGTTTTCCCTGCTGGGAAGAGGCAAAATTTGTTATTTTAACTGTTGATCATCAGTTGGCACCAAAAACATTTTAGATAAGCCTATGCAAAACAAAGCTCAGTTTCTGGATTTTATATGGAGTATAACAGCAAATTAAAATGTGTGTATGCGTGTGTGAGAATGTGAGAGTGACCTTTACGCACTTACTTTGATGTGTCTGAGAAAATCAAAATATGCATCTCAGCTCTCAGAACCACATGGAGTAAATAAAAACAAAGACTGTATTTATGCGCCGTCAAATGTGGTTATAATGGAAGTCAATGGGGCAAAAACAGCCACCAACAGTATATTAGTGAGAAAAAAATATGAAAATCTAACAATGCATCAAAGCCAGTGTTGTTACTTATCGTTCACATGTCCAAGACTGTGATAAAATGTGAAAAAAAATCCAGCCCACAATTGCTTTTTTTATTGCAAATATGTAATTTTGTGGGGTTTTTTTGTTCACCAAATCAGTGATATAATTAATGAATTTGGCAGTTAAAGAGTTAAAATCCTGCAATTTTCCAAAAATCAGATGTCTAAAATAAGTGAATAGATTCAAAAAGAAACAGGCGTCATCAAAACATTTTGTTTCCAGCAGCCACTCAGATGCACATTATCCCAATTAAAAATCAATCCATATCAAGTATGAATCATATTGTCAGAATTAAAAAATTCCAGTCAGGCCTACATTAAGTGGATTAATAATATTCAGCATTAATCCAGAGGCGTGAAATACAACAATCATCCTCCATTCAGAGGCCTCGACGGGAGAAGTAAAACATCCAGTCAGCTGCACTAAGTTGCCATGGTTAGTAATGACCTTAAAATTCTAGGCCAGTGAAATCAGTCCTGTTGCATCAGGCCGGTTCAAAGAAAAGCAGAGAAGCTTTTTCCAGTTTTCACCCGTGAGAAGTGCCCCCATATCTCCCCCTCCGAAAGCAAGCAATCCCGGCCTGACAGGCATGCAGTGGCCAAGCCAGAGCCTCCGTTCATATGACTAATTAGACAAGCTTCACGCTGCGCTGTTCTTTTTGATGCTGAGCCCTGGTGCTAATTGCCACGTCCGTCTTGGGGCACATGAAGGCTAAGTTCAAATGCAGCTCCGGCTCGCTGCACT